TGACATAGGAATTATTATTTCTGCATTACAGGCACCAAAGAAGGCCAGGAGAGGTTTAACAACTTCTTCAGAATCACACAGCTTGCAAATGGTTGGGCTGGGTTTATATTTAGGCGGTCTTGCTCCAGAGTCAGTACTCCTAACCATTGCAAGCAACAAATCTCAATAAAGTGGAGAAGGAAACGCTGGGAAATTTGGAAGTCAGACATGGCAGGTGAGGACTTTCTTTTTTCTTTCTCTCTCTCTCTTTTTTTTTTTTGAGATGGAGTTTTGCTCTTGCTGCCCAGGCTGCAGTGCAGTGGCGCGATCTTGGCTCACCACAACCTCTGCCTCCCCGTTTCAAGTGATTCTCCTGCCTCAGCCTCCGCAGTAGCTGGGATTACAGACATGCACCACCACGCTCGGCTATTTTTTTTGGATTTTTAGTAGAGACAGGGTTTCTTCATGTTGGTCAGGCTGGTCTCAAACTCCCAACCTCAGGTGATCTGCCCACCTCGGCCTCCCGAAGTGCTGGGATTACAGGCGTGAGCCATCGTGCCCAGCCAGGACCTTCTTAAATGCTCTGTTTTGGTCAGAAAGTGCTGGGACCCCGGGGTGGCACACCCAGCACTCACCAGGAACTAAGTACCTGCTGCCCATTTTGGACACCTGCTGGCAGCTTGTTAATTCTCATGCCGCCATTCTCAGGAGGGGCTCCCTGGCAATCTGGTCTACTGCCTGTTGGAAAGGGACAGGGCAGGCAGGGACAGGAGATGCCAACGGCAGGCGGTTGGCTCCCAGGGTCGGTCTGAAGAGAGAGGAGAGAGGTGTGAGAAAGAGAGGGACCCATGGCACGAGGGCCGAGGCAGGGGCCAGGTCTTGCCTTCGATGCCCCAAGAAGTATGCCAGGCACTTGGGGGAACTCCTGTCCCGAAACGGCGAAGTCTGCATCCAGCAGGCCAATCTGTTGATGAACAAGTTTGGCTAGACTGGCAAGGAGTCAGAATTTGTCCCTTTCTAGTTTGTTCCCCCGGATGGAGGTATGAGCACAGAATGAGTCCTTAGAGGATGCTTCTGGGGAGAGAGCAGTGAAGACCAAAGTTCTAGCATGGTTTGGGAGCTCCCTTCTCTGGCATATGGAAGAGCAAGATGTGTGCCCTCCCCCAAACACGCACCACACCAGGTTCGCTTCCCACTGGTCTGAATGTCTCCCTTGGCTAATTCTTACTCTTGGATTCCATTACCTTTGAGCTAACAGCTCCTACAGTGCCATTTTATATCAGCGAAAAGTACCCAGCACAGTTGCCTGAGTCAGGCAGGAAAAGCTTGGTGCCCCTCCCGCCGCCCACTCAGTACCCACCCACACAGCACACAGCAGGAGTACTGAAAATGCACCCAGGCCGGGCACGGTGGCTCACGCCTGTAATCCCTGCACTTTGGGAAGCCGAGGTGGGCAGATCACGAGGTCAAGAGACCGAGACCATCCTGGCCAACATGGTGAAACCCTGTCTCCACTAAAAATACAAAAGTTAGCTGGGCCTGCTGGCACACGCCTGTAGTCCCAGCTACTTGGGAGGCTGAGGCAGGAGAATTGCTTGAACCCGAAAGGCAGAGGTTGCAGTGAACTGAGATTGTGCAACTGCACTCCAGCCTGGCAACAGAGCGAGACTCTGTCTCACAAAAAGAAAGAAAGAAAGAAAGAAAGAAAGTACACCCACAGGGTGTCCTGGAGGTACCCCTGCATCACCCTGACTGTCTGAGTGTCCCCAGGCCAACCTTCAGAGTACAATATTTCTTCAGGCGGATAAACTGGTATGGTGAGACCCTTTGTGGGTTCCTGTATGGCTCTGCCACTTACTTGCTGTGTGACCTTGGGCAAGTTACTTAACTTTTCTGTGCTTCAGTCTTGTCATCAGCAAAATGGTGATAATACTAATAGCTACTTCAAAAGGTGTTGTAAGAACTTAAATGAGTTAGCAAAAAAGTCTAAAATGCCTGGCCCATGGCAAGCGCTCAATAAATATTAGTTTCTGCTTTTACTATTGTCACAACTATTATTAGGTTGGTGCAAAAGTAATCATGGTTTTTGCCATTGACAGTAATGCCAAAACGCGATGACTTTTGCGCTAACCTAATATTATTACGCAACTCTAGGCAACTAACTTTACCTCTCTGAATCTCATTGTCCTCACGGTAAGATGAGTGTAATAGTATCTGTTTTACAGGATTGTTGTGAGAATTAAACAGTGTTAATTACTATTGTAAAGTTTGCAATAAATAATAATTATTTGTGTGTTGCTTTAGCCTGGTTTATCTCCCGGGAGATGACTTTATTTCTAAATGTACACGGGTTTCTTAGAAGAGCTTCAGAATACTAATCATCGCTAGTGAGGGCACTTGGACACTTTGCTTAACCTCAGCCAGCACCTCTTTTCCCAGCTGTAAAATGGTATGATAATAAGCACCCCTAGGAATCTCAAGGATGTTATGAGGGGAAAATATACAATAATATACAAAGCACTTTGAGCTTCTCTGAAGAGAGACGCATATAAATGGAAGGTGGTATTAGAAGGTGGGGTAATCACTGGTTACCTCCCCCCCTTTTTTATTTAATTAGGAGAAAACTAGTAATTAGGAAGCATGGCCTTGTTAAAGCTGTGGCCTGGGAAATAGTTCTCTTGGCACTTAATCAGAACTGTGACATGGCGCAAGTTTTTGCAAAACGTGGGCAGCAGGGTACCTTCCCCCAGGCTCAGATTGTGAGAAATTTGCTGTCTAGGGGCCAGATCCTGAGGTGGCTCAGTTGGCTGGGGAGCCTCCTGAGGAGATCTTCACTCAGGTCTGCAAAGGGACTCTGCCCTGCCTCAGTAGCCCTCATCTCTGGGGGCCTCAAAGTCATTCTCATCTGCAGGTTACAGCTTGCTGCAGGCCCAGAACCAAGCTTTTCTACCACATTGAACCCACTGGGGCGACTTCAGGCTTCTGAAAAGCACCTCAGATCTAGTCTGGTCTCTGATTCAGTAGCAGAGACAAAGAAATCCCCTGCCTGTTCCCCTTAAAATGGGCCATTGTGGAGTAGGTGCTGGGGCCCTAGCTTGCTCCCCACTGTGCCTTTGTTAGAGCAGTAACCTCCAGCAGAACCCACTGTCTCCCTCCCTGCGTGTCCCAGTTTGCCTGTTCTCCTGGACTCTGCTTAAAGGCCGCCTCTGCCAGGAGACCTTCCCAGGTCTTCCCAGTTACCGTCACTCTCTTCCTCCTCTAGACTCTGTGTTTGGTACAGTGTGGCTTTTGTGTTTGTCCTGTCTTCTCTCACATTTGACTCTGAGCCACTGGAAAAAAGGGAAGGACAGTAAGTCAGAGAAATGAAATGTTCCCATCCCCAGGCAGCTGACCAGATGTTGCAGACAGACTGACCAGCCCAATTGTATTGATTCTCCCTCAGTGCGTTGAAAAAGCAAACGGGAGGCATCTGAAAATCTTGAGATAGGCAGTTCCATTTTCAATGACGAATCTCTTAAAATACACAGAAATGGTATAACAATCATGTATCCACCACTTAGACTACCAATTGTTACTCTTTTGTCATACTCATTTAAATGTATTTTTATTATGTATTTCAAAGAAGTGAAACTTGTAGATACAGCTAGGGTTCCCTGTGTCCACTCACTGAAGTCCCTTCCCTCTCCCTTCTAGGGTCCACCACTTTCCTTGATAAAGGACCCTGCATCCATGGATGGACAGAGGGGTTTGCTAAAGTGCCGAATTGTGTGTGAAATTCTACGTGTGCATCTTTCTTACACATGCCATGTCCATTGCAGAGCTGCTCGTGACTCAACCTTCCAGCGGTCTCCACTGCAACCGCTCTGGCCCAGGCTACCATTTTCTATTCTTTTTTTTCTCTCTCACCAAGTTTGGAGTGCAGTGATGTGATCCAGGCTCACTGCAACCTCTGTCTCCGGGGTTCAAGCGATTCTCCTGCCTCAGCCTCCCGAGTAGCTGAGATTACAGGCCCACACCACCACACCCAGCTAATTTTTGTATTTCTTAGTAGAGACGGGGTTTCACCATGTCAGCCATGCTGGTCTTGAACTCCTGACCGGGTGGTCCACCCACCTCAGCCTCCCAAAGTGCTGGGATTACAGGTGTGAGCCACTGCACCCGACCCAGGCTACCATTTTCTGACATTTAAATCTTTTGCTTCCCGTAGCAGCCTCAGACAGACATTCTAAAGTCTTAGATCATATTTCCCCTTTGCCCATAAAGTCCACTCATGGTTTTAGATTTAACTCAGTAAAATTCCTATGTGGTATGTGTCTCCCGACCTCTGCCCCTCTGACCTCATCTCTCTCACTGAGGCAACTTTCCTCCCACTTCCCGAGGTCCAGCCATTCTGCTCTTTTCGCTTATCTTCATTCACGCTGGGTGTGGCCTCAGGCTGTTCACGCTCTTGTTGCTGTGCGCTTTCCCCAGTTAATCACATGATGAAACCTCTTATGTTCTTTGGGTCTCTGCTCACATTCACTTCTCAGTGAAGATTCCCTGACACATCCTGTTTAAAAATGTGACATCATTCCCACCGGTCTCTCTCTTGCCCTGTTGTAATTCTCCTTTTTCCATAGCACTCTTCACCGAGACAGGGTCTCACTCTGTTGCCCAGGCTAGAGTACAGTGGAGTGATCATGGCTTACTGTGACCTTAACCTCCTGGGCTCAAGTGATCCTCCTACCTCAACCTCCCGGGTAGCTGGGACTGTAGGCACATTCTACCATGCCTGGCTAATTCTTCGTATTTTTTTTTTCTTTGTAGAGATGGGTTTTTGCCATGTTGTCCTGGCTGGTCTCGAACTCCTGGGTTCAAGTGATCTGCCCGCCTTGGCCTCCCAAAGTGCTGGGATTACAGGTATGCACCACCATGCCTGGCCCACAGCACTTGTTTTCTAGCAAATTATGTATTTTACTTATTTATTATATTCATTTTTTATTGCCTGTTTTTCTCTGTTACAATATAAGCTCCATGAGAGCAGGAAATTCTATTTGTCCACTGATGTTTCTGAGTCCCTGCAATAGTGCCTGGCACATAGGTGCTCCATAAATATTTGCTGAAAGATTACATAAATAAATGGATGAATGGATATGAGCATCTCTCACTGGAGAGGGTCCAGAACTTTCATTAGATTTTCCAAGGTGTCTGTGACACAAAAAAGGGTAGGAACCATTGACATAGTAACCCATCAAAAAGTTTGCTGGAAATTCTTTGCTTGCCGGGAAGTCTGCCTAATGAAGCAGGAGGTCCTGAGGGATTTTTCTCCTTTTTTGATTTGTGTCTTTCCAGAGAGCTAATGCTGGCAGCTGTTGGGATGTCCTCTTCCAGGACTGGTGATGAGTTTCCTGGTATCCAGCCCTGGCCGGACTGAGGTAGGGAACCAGGGAGGCATTGACGGAGACCATGGACAGGAGCCCTGGCAGTGGGCCAGCTCCAGAGAAGCTGTAATTTTCCTTGCTCCTTTTGTGGAGTCTGTCTGGGAGCAGAGGCTGAATGTGGCCGCAGCCTCCTGAGCTTCCTTGAGGAGCTAGGCAAAATGCCCAGACCAACAGGAGCTGCTTCCTGCCTTACAGGCTCCAAGCATAGGCAAGGAGTAAGATCAGGACTTCTTGTAGGAGCCTTGGCCTGGGTGACCAGACAGTGGCTTGTGATGCAGAGAGAGATAATAGTCAAGTGGGGGGAGCTTGGAAACAAAAAGACACCAAAGGCCATCTGGAGTGGATAGTGGGAGTGAATTGGAGGTGAGTCAGCCAGCTCACAGGGCAGTTAAAAAGACAAGTGGGTAATTGTGGGTGCAGTCCGCCGGTCATACACCGAAAATGAGGAACAAGTGGTTAATTGGGCCCACAAGCCCAGGATCCCGCCTATAATTAGCAAATTGCAGGGCTTTGATATTTGCTTTGGTAACAACTTGTGTAGTAAATTGCAGGGAGGAAAACTGTCCCCCCAGCCCGGGGAGTGACTCTCACAAACACTTGTAGGCAGCACACACATGAATATACTCCCAGCATTGGCAGTGGGGCTTGCACCTTTCTGCAGGCTGACAGCCTCCTGTGATGCTTTCTGTTTCCATTTACCCCTTGCTTAAGTTTTTGCCAATCAGGGCTGAAGCTGAGGGCTGGTTTCCTGGTGTGTGCTCCCATTGTTCACACACTGATTTTTCATGTTCCCTTAAGCTGCAGCCCTTGGGGAGGAGAGACTTTCTGACCAGAGATGTGACCAGGAGTGGCCATGTGGTAATGGCCATGGGTAATTCCCATGAAAGTTCTATAGTGGGGGAAGGGGAAGAGACACAATTGAGTTCTGTTTCAGCATTGTTGAAATTTTGTCTATGAGGATGGTCAGTGCTTGTTCCTGATCAGAGACTGGCCTTTGTGGTTTCATATCTGTGGCTACCTCTGCAGGCTTCTCAGCCATTGTAACCAAAGTGCAGACCAGAAGCATAGGAAAATTGCACTGGGCTTGTCATGGTAAAACCCTATAAATGTCCACACATACAGAGAGACCGGTGAGCACAGGCAATGAAAAGAGCACTAAATGAAAGTGCCAGGAGACCTGGGTTTGAATTTGTGCTCCCTATTGATGGGTCTTGTCAAGTCACTTAAATACTCGTACATCATCTCTGTCATTTATAGGTCTGTTTCTATTGACTGATTTTTCTCTTGATTATGGGTCACCATTTTTCTGCTTCTTTATATGTCTAGTAATTTTTTGTTAGATGGCAGACATTGTAATATTCTATCATTAAGTATTTGGACTTTGTTGTCTTTTTTTAAAAAAAATCTTGGTTTTGGCTTTGTTTGGGCTTTATTTCAGCAGACAGTTAAGTTACACATGGATCAGTTTGACATCTTTGAATCCTGGCTTTACATTTTGCTATGGAGAGTCTAGAGTAACCTTCACTCCAGGAATGTCAGCCTTTTTACTCAAGTGTGATTTATCTGGGCTCTTCACTGAATGTCCCAAGGGATCACCAAGGACTCTCCACTTTGACTGGGTGATGCACAGTGATGGCCTTACATTTTGAGAGCTTTAGATTGTTCAGCTTACAACTCTTCTGTCATTTATCTTCCCTGGTCATGTAGAGTTTCACTTTAGACACATATAGTTGAATACCTAGCAAAGACTCAGGAAAATATCTCAGTAGACTTACGGTGTTATTTTTCTGTGTGTCTTCCTCCTGTCAAAAATTGTGACCCTCAACTCCTAGCTGCCTCAGGTCCATAGACAGATCTCTGTCTCCTCAACTTAGTGAAGCTACTGGACTGTGCTCATCGACTGGAAATTGCCTCCAAGCATAAAGCTAGGGTTATTTCAGGTCTCACCTCACTGATGCATTCTCTCACAGATTACAGTTTTGCACTACCTATTACCCAATGTCTGAGAGGAGTAGTAATTCTATCAAGACTGGAAGTTGAAGTCTTCTCAAGTTAATAAAATTTGTTTTCCCAAATGCAGAGGCAGAATGTAATAGTATTTTCCTCAAAAGTTAGTCATGATAACTCAACTATGTAATGGTTCTGAAAACACCTATAATGATGCATGAAAGAAGCAATGGAGCATAAAATTAGAATAGTTAATAAATTATAATATTATTTTTCTTTTCCTTTGACACCAATAGTATAAATGGATTTATCATTTTCACAAAATTGTAGAATTTTAGGACTGCAAGGGACTTATCTCAGGAAGATAAAATTGGATTGCTCCAAATACCTCATTTTACAGATGAGTAGACTGAAGCTTAGTGAGGGAAAGTAATTTTCCCAAGCCCCCATGGCCTATTAGTAGAAGAATGAGACTGGAACTCAGGTGTCTTGGCTCCCAGCCTATGGGGCATCCATTCATTCAGCTCACCTTTATTGAGTATCTACTAAGTTCAGAACATTGAACTAATTGCTATATTGCCTCTCTATAATATCTTAGTTTGCAAAAATGTTAAAAAATCAATTTTGGAACATTATGGTAAGTTCAATAAATCAGCATATAATTTTGGACTTCTCTGGAGTGAGTAAGTCTGATTGACATTAATTGGAGCAGCCTCCATTGTCCAGTGCAAAAATGCAAAGTGCTTCCAGCATTCAGATCTCCTGGGATATTCTATTATAGTGCTTCAGACATATGAACATGTCAGGTAATTACTGTGGTTTTATGGCCCTGTCAGTTATGGTTATAGGGAACTAAGGATTTACTCTGCTTGCAGCCCTTCCAGCCTCTCAATGCAAAAATGGATGATAAAACTTTAAGAGGAGTGTGCAGCATGTTGCAAGATGTGAACAGAACACCATATAAGATGTCAGGAGGCCTGGATTCTAGACTTGTTTTGTTACTTCCATTTTCTGTGCCTAGGTTTTTCTAACTGTAAGATGAGGACATTAGCCTATGATCTACAATGCCCATTCCAACTCAGAGAATCTTTGCATCTGGAGATCTACAGCAGGGCTCTGCCTAGTGATATGTATGAAGAAGCTTGGAAATGGGGCTGGGTAGGAGCTGAGTATGTAGAATGTGGAAAGGCATTCTAAACCAAAAGAAGAACACAAATAAAGATGATGAAGCAGGGATATGGCTAAAATGAAATTTGTGATCTGATCCACATACAAGTACAGTGTACTACAGCTGGACTACAGAGAAGAACTTGAGAACCCATGAGCAACTATCCCTGTACTCTTGGAGGCTCTGCAACCACAGTTTGAGAAACTCTGCATTAAAAGTTAAAAACCGTCACCTGAATAGTTAATAACATCAAAGATTGTGAAAGCAAGTATAAATAACACAGAGATTAAAATAATGAGGCAGGATCAAAAAGTGAGTGTCATATTTGTCTATTTTTTCCTTTATCACTGAAACATAAACATAACATTTCAAAATCATTACGTAGAACTCCTCTCCTCTTCCAGAACAATGCTCAGAGCTTTGTAGACTCTGGTTTGCAAAAAACAAAACAAAACAAAAACAAACAAACAAACAACAACGTCGTGAAAGGGAGTAGAGGTAGATGAGATGAGAAATGTTGATCAGGAGGAGTCAGGAGGAGATCACGGAAAGCCTTGAACACCAGGCTTAAGGGTTAGTCACTTATTCTGCAGGCTGTAGGGTTGTAGGGAGTGAGTGATACTTGATGAGCAAAAGGCTTGTTATGCTCAGGTCTGTGTTTCAGTTTTCTTTGGTTACAGTGTGAGGGGGAACTACAGGGGTAGAGCAGAGGACTTGTCAGGAGGCTGGCCTAATAGCCCAGGATGAAGGAATGAAGGATGCAAGTCTGAGGACCCTGACACAGGGCGAGTGATGGAGGAAGGCTGAGGATGAAAAAAGAATGAAACCTGTTTGTTGACTGATATGGAGGTCAGGATGAAGCCCACATTACTAGGTTTCTAGGCCATGTGATGGGGTGAGTGGTGATTGTACAATCACCCCAGAGGCAGAGCAGCAATTCAAAACAGGATTGGAGAGAGAGAGAGACAGAGAGAGAGAGAGAGAGACAGAGAGAGAGACAGAGAGACAGAGAGAGAGAGAGAGAGACAGAGAGAGAGAGAGACAGAGAGATAAATCCGGGCTTTTATTTGATTCATTCTGTTTTTTTCCATGTTTGACCAAAAAAAAAAAAAAAAAAAAGAAAGGATAAATGCATCTATTCCTTGGAGTTTTGTAAGGACTGATGAATTAGCATATATGAAAGCACCTAGGACATGTCAGCCACATAGTACTTTCCAATACGTGTTAATTCCATCTATCCATCTATTTATTATTTATATAAGTTTGCAAGTTTGGAGGGAAATAATTAGTTTAATTAGGATCGTATCAAACATTTCAAACTCATTCTGAGTAAAGAGCTCATTAGCCAAGGGGCTCTCTGTAGGGTCAGATCACTTCCAGTCACTAGATTGGGCCATAGTTCAAGGCCAGAGGCTTGTTTCCCCAAGCATCAGGCCGTTTCTCTCTCTTCCTTTCATTACCAGCTCCCTGCCCCCGCTGTCATCCTTTTCTAGATCTCTTATGTAGTAAATGCAAAAAAAAAAAAAAAAAAAAAAGACAGGTGCACAAACATTATGTGAAAAGCATATTCAATTGAACCAATGAGTTTATTCAGTTGACTCTTCTGAGGACATACCCTGTGCCAGGCCGTGGTACACGTATGTGTGAGAGACTGTGGCATTCTCCTCTTCTCCATGATTGGACAGTACCGTCAGCATTGAGGCTCACAGAGTTGCCTTACCTTGGGAGATGCAGGCTTCGGTGAGAGGGCCCCATGGAGCCTGACCTCAGTTGCAGGCCTTCAATGGGATGAGCAACACCAGGCACTCTTTCTCAGGCTCCTGATCCCCATGTGGTTTGCATGTTGCTCAAATCAACCAAACTCTCCCACATTGGCCTCCTCCCTCTTTCTTAGTTCCAGGAGACCAGCGTCCCCGAGCCAGGGAAACACTGCTTGGCTGCTTTCATCATGATAGCCAGTGCTGAGTGCAGAGCTGTCAGGAAGCCAGGCCGTGCGGGCAGCCGGCAGCACAGGCCAGAGAGCAGGGTGGCGCTGCAGCAGGTGCCTGGGTGTCCCTGTGAGCTCAGTGGGACAAGAGATCTTCCGTCGAATCCAGTGTGGACTTGGTTTGGCTTTCCAACGATTTTAGCCCAACCAGATCCCTCCCTTTAGAATTCCTTCCCTTGGACAAAGCAACTGCAACTATAATTTCAGATTCAGAGGAAGCCTGCAAACTGTGGCTTCCCTTCTTTGTTTCCTTTTTTTTTTTTTTTTTTTTTTTT